ATTTCAGTTGTGCTCTGCCACCTAGACTAAATATGCTAATTACAGCAATCTTATCCAATCACAAAAGCTGGTTTCCAAAGCAATTACTAGGCAATGAGTTTTAGCTAAGTGGTAGGAAATTGCAGTTGTTTCAAACTGTTTGATGTATTTGCCTTTTTGCTATAACCATCTGCCTTTCCAGACTCTTACAGGTTTGCTGTTACCTTTTTCATAAAAATGTGTTCAATAAATATTGAGTTGCTTTCCTGAATTTGCTTTGCAAATGTGAATGCAGTGTGCAGATAAAAGGTAAAAATCAGCCAGTTGAACAAAGATGAAGCAGCAATAAATCAATTATGAGATATGGAATTTAGAACATACAGAGTCGGAAAAGGAAAAATAATTGATTTTAGTGAACTTTGAACCTAAGGAACTTTAAGGTTGGCATAGAGAGGTCTTAGGGTGTAGCCCCTATAGGTGAACCTTAACAGGGAGCGTAGCTCTACTAGGCGGGGTAAAGGAAGGGCACAGCAGGAAATCTACCATCACTACTGAAATCTTGGGATCCAAACAGAGGTAGCCCCTATAGGTGAACCTTAACAGGGAGCGTAGCTCTACTAGGCGGGGTAAAGGAAGGGCGCAGCAGGAAATCTACCATCACTACTGAAATCTTGGGATCCAAACAGAGGGAATACAATTTCATTCTCCTAAACAGCAGAGAAGATATCCTGGAGTCAGGAAATTACTGCCTGTACAGGTTTTAAAAAGGGGGGAGCTTTAAGAAATGGAAACTCACTGTACTTGGACTCAATGCACAAGAGCCTCATGTAGAGTGTTTAATTGCCTTTGAATCAGAGATTTTCCAACATGCAGACTCTTTTCCTGTGAACACCTTTTCTTCTTCAGAAATCGAATATGAGGGCAGTAAGCACAGTCCTGGCACATGGGTGGCCCTCGGTAAAGACTCTCCTCTTACTTGGAGGGAGGGCATGCAAAAGTCCTTTATAACTTGCGAAAACATCATGCAAATGGAAGACTCCTAGTAATTGCTCAATAAATGTTTGGGAGACTGTTTTATACAATGCAGTTGTTCTTAGGTAAACCTTTTCTGAAGTGACTTGAGTGTTAATTGCTTATGAATGAAATATTTGTGATTATTTTTCTACAAGACCAGTGCTGACATTTAAGTTATGGTTCTCATCAGCTTTGGAATCAATAAACCTGAAGATAAGTTAAATAAACCTCAAAAGAAGTGAATGCAAGGAAAATAGTTCTCCTTTCTTGTTATTCATTTGGATCAGGAGCTCATTTCCCTTCATTAGGTGGTGGCTTTTAGGTGGTTAGTTTCCCTAAGTTTAGTGATTAGGAAAAGACAAAGAAAACAACAATCGATCCCTTTTTCTATGTAGTAATCACACTTTTCTGTGTTCTTCCCATCATCTGCCAAAAAGAGATAGGTACCAGATCTGAGATTCTTGTTCCACTATTTATCAGCCTTAACTAAACTTGGAAGCTTACGTCAGTGACTGTTATGGCTCATTAGATACTTGGGGGACATAGTGAAGACAGAGTTGGGGGGAGAGTTGAGTGGGACAGACAGCATGCTTGCAAGCAGCTGTTCCCAATGGTGGTGCCAGGAGGAGCAACTCGAGCTATTTTCATCATAGCTGGCTGGAATGACTCCTTCCTTTGAAGTTTTCACAGAGAGCACTAACTCTTGTCTGCACAGAGAATTACTTTCTTGTAGCTTTAAAAATATTTTCAAGATTGGATAAGGGAAGTGGGGAGAGAAAACACACCCTGGAGTACGGGATAAGATAGGCTTTTCTATCCCCAGTTTTCAGATAACAGCTGTTGCTAGGGTGTGGCAAAAGGGGACAGATGGCCAGGCCTCCAGCTTGGAGAAGCACATGGCAGAGGCAGAGGAGGAGGCAGGTAGCAGCTAGAGATGCTCAAGTCTTTCCACCTGTAACCCCCAGGCTGCTACTTATGGTTCTGTTATTGTTTGTTTTTGATCCTGGTGACACTGTCTCCCTGCAGTACTTGTACCTACAGATTTCTAATTCTGATATTTACCTAAGAAGCTCTCTTGATTGAGGGAGGCTTGGCCTAGTACCCATTTAAGTCTTGGCCTTGTTTAGATCATCTAGGTCTGTGAGGCTCCCCTTTAGGTAATGAAACTATTACTGCCATAAAGAACTGAACCCTGTGCTTTGTGGGCAAATCAAAATGGATTCAGAAAAAACAATCCAAAGCACAGGACGCTCTGTAACTACCCTGACCTTGACTTAAGGTGTGAGAAACAAATGAACATTTGGATGAATCTTCTCTCATGAAGAGAGAAAGTCTCAGTGCACACCACCCTGTTTTCATTAGGGTTGGGTTAGTTGCTGCATTTTATTGCACGTGAAGTTTGGCCAACATCTAACAAGTTGTGAAATTTTGGAGGAATATACTGTAAGTGGTAAGTGGTGGCTAGACGGAAAAAAGCAAGAATGATTGGGAAGGGGGATAGTATAGAGATAATATTTACGTGCTGGTTTAAGAACAACCAGTATGTGAAAATGCAAATTTACAAAGCAAATATATTAAGAAAGGATTGTTTTTTCCTGTATTAAAGAAGGATTTAGCACGTAGTTCTGTTGAGGCTCTTGGGTTAGGTTGCTACTTAAAATGCAATTCCTTTTATACAAGTAAGGTTTGTGCCCTATTTCCAGGCACACATGCCAAGTGCAGTAAAGTGAATTTCGTGGCTTGCAGACCTAGTGTTTTACTTCTCAGTTCCTTTCCTCCTTCCCAGGAGGAAAGGGGGATGGGATAAACTAGGACCTCTTTTCACTGATTTTTTTTTTTTTTTAAGTCCTACTTACCTTTTACTCTTTAACCTTTCTATAAATAAGTGTGACTTGCACAGAATATATTTACTGTAAAAAGCAGGGTTTATTCCCTCTACTGATATGTGACTGTGTTTTACATTGAAGTGTGAAATGCCTCTTATATCATCTTAAATATGGTTGATAAAATAAGACTTTTTCAAAGCTCCTACTTATTGTACTGTTTTGTTCTGAAGAACTGACAGCAATAAAGCTATTTATTTAGGGATGTGGTTTTGAGGAAGCGATCTAATGTATTACCATGATCCATTTTCCTTCCCAGTTGTTAGAATTTATTTTATTCATGACTGGTTTGTAGAAGCTGATAGTCAAATAACAGTAGGCAATGTTAATAACAACAAGATCAAGGGTTCGGATCCCAATACTGGCCAGCTGCCAAAAAAAACCCAAAACCCTAAAACCAAATAACAGTGGGCTTAACCTAAATCATCATGAGAGGATTAATAGACCTTGACACTGTGATGGAGAACACTTACTCTGTTGCCATACTTTCAAGAGCCGGAAGTTATCACAAAGTATTTAAGGACATACAAATATAAGGAAAAAGAGGGAACTAGAGCTTTTTCCTCTAACATTTTATTATGAAAAATTTCAAACATACAAAAAAGTTTAAAGAATTTTACAGTGAACACCCTTATACCCACCACTTAGATTTCACAATGAGCATTTTACTGTGCTTGCTTTACCAAATAACTATCCTTCTATCCCTCCTTCTACCTATCAATCAGTTCATCTTTTTTAAAAAAAAATTCTGATTAAATTGCCACAATAATGCACTTTTCCTAAAAGCTTCAACATGCATTTTACTAACTAGTACTCACTATTTGTTTCCAGTCTTTTTTTTTTTTCCCAGAGATAAAACCTATGTACAATTAAATGAGCCATTTGATGATTATTGACTAAGGCATTCATCTGTGCAACCCAATTCAAATATCTTTGAATGCTTTTGGCTGCAAGAAACAGAAAATCAACTTAAATAACTTACTGACTTCCATAACTGGAAGTCCAGGAGATGTGATACTTTGAACCTTAATTCATTCTGTGCAATTTCTTTTGTTTCTGTCTTGTAGCTCCTTTATATGCCAACTTTTTCATTGGGTGGTTTCCTCTTCTAGCCAGTGGGGGGATAGGGATTTCAGGCCTTGCCTGGCTTACAGTAATGTCCAAGAGGAAGAGAGGGAACATTTCCACTCAGGATTCCAAATGCAAGTCTTGAGGTTCACCGTGATTGGACTGCTTAGGTCATACGAGTGCTCATGAAGATTGTGGCCAGGGGAGTGGATGACACAAGCCAACCAGACATCTCCCAGCACACTCATATGTGCACATACAGTGGTCACTCTAGAGTTCATGCACAACCCTATTCTACCACTAGCAGAAAATTTTGCTGTTTAATATAATTTTCTATTATTTTTGAGAAGGAGAGAAAGCCACTCATGTACAGGTTGTTTTGAGGAAAAGAAGAATAGTATAACAAATTAGAAAAAACTCCACTGAAAACACAAATCTTTTATTTTGTTGTAAAACTGTGAAGCAGAAAGTCAAAACTGTGAAAGTAATCCTTAGATTTATTACAGCTGACTATATTTCAGCTAATTTTACAAGAATTTCTTTTAAACCAACCTTTTTTTAGGTAGATGCTACCATATATTTCATTTGCTCATCTCATAGTTACTGAGTGCCTATTACATGTCAAGCATTACACTACTTGCTGTGAAAGATACAAAGTGAAATAAGAGAGAAGCTTCTTACTCTTGAGGAGCTCAAGATATATCCTGTCCAGTTTTAGCAATGTGTGTACCAACTAGAATTGATGACCTAAAAACCATATTATATTAAAGACATACATACTATTAGCAAGAAAAAAATTAAAAGCTGGAAATAGTCATGTGCTTTACCAGTTTTTTTCAAGTCACTATAGCAATTAACTTTAAATGTTATGTGTGTTTTTAGAAAGAGAACACAAAATCACATTTTTCCCCCAGCTAGGAGAGAGAAAGGACTCCTCCAAATAAAATAACCAAATGATACCATGCTCCTATGTAATTATGTTTTTTCTGAAATAATTCTATATCCTTAGAAATAAGATACTATACTGTTAGGATTGCCATATATCAAGCCATCACCTCCCCTTCCTTTAGCTCTGGACTCAACAGAAGTGTTGCAAAGCTGTAGAAAAGATTGGATTTTACTTTTTGAAGCTGAAGAGGGGCTCAATAGTGGCACGAATGACTCTCTCTTCCTGCCGTATTCTATGCAGAATCCCTCTCGGTGCCTTATCATTACTTCTATTGATAAACTACTGAATTCCATCTAGATGCCAGATTCTGGGTTAGGTGCTGGGGACAAGAGGAGGACCCTCATTTCCCAGACTTCCTTCTAGGATCGCTTGCATCTCTCTGGGTTTTAAGACCACACTTTTGGCTTACTGTGGATCAGGGACTTCACTTCTACTTTCACCGTTCAAGATTTCCAAACTGCAAGGTAAACCATATACTACATAATAAAAAGCATGTAAACCCTAGGATAGCATTTCTGGGCTTGCATGAAGACAAGAGTTCTTTGTTTATTTGTATTTGTCCTGAGGCAAAATAAACTTCATAAAAGGGGTGTATACCTCCGAGGAGGGGGAGTTATGAGGGTGCGTGGGTGGGGAAGGACAGATACCACATATCGTGTAAATATCATGTCTCATATATTGCTTATATAATAAATTTATTTTAAAATCTGGATACACAAGAAATATAATTCAGGGCCGGCCCGTGGCTCACTCGGTAGAGTGCGGTGCTGATAACACCAAGGCCCCG